GTTTCATATTTTTTCATGAAAACTAATCTGGTGTGCTACTGAAATATCACACAGTATAGATTCCCATTGTTTGCGTCTAGAAAATGAATAAACAGAACATGTTGAATAAAGCATTTATTTATAATTTGACAAATTTTTGATGGCGTCGAAGTTCTGACTGATGGTTTATTGATGCTGATATGAATGAATTATGTATGAGATGTATGTATTGCTCGTTGGAAATGAACCGAAACGCTCTTAAAATAATATTCGAATTGCCAAAAGTATACTCTGAATAGCAAAAGAAGTCAGCGTTATGCTAACAACGCGGAACAAATTCTTTCAACAAAATAACGTGAATCTGCGCCAGAGTTTCAGTGGCTGACCAACGAAAATCAGTGAAAACATATTGTTTCTTTTTTAGACAACATCTTGTAGTGATGACGTTTTTCTAGTTGCTGTCATTTGTTCGATCAGCTTTCATTGCGAAAAAACGGCCATTTAAAGAGCAGTTCTCATTAGAAGAACACGAATAAGGGTAATTTGATAACCGGTAAAAGGAAATGATGCAAACGAATTATTGGTCGTTTACCTTGCTGATACACATCAGGCAGAACGTATGACAACACGGTAAAATTTGTGGAGCGTGCAGAAACGTATCGAACTCTTGTAAACAAGAACCACATTTCGGTATTAACGACAACAAATCTATCGTTGTTCCGTTTGCATAAGAAAGCATCACAAAGGATCTTTCTTACTTTAGAAATTGCATTAAGATGCTGAAAGTATTCTATCGCCATAAATGCAGTATTACCTTCATTCGTTATCAAAGTACGTTTACTTCTCTTTCTTAAGCGAACAAAACGAACAGTACAAACTCACGCATATACAATGGGATAAATGAGTGTACTAATCAAAACGATGTTATCATTGGCATGATGAAACTATGGGAATAGCTGCAAAGACAATACTAATAATTCCAATATCACCATTGATAACGAAGAGAGAAAGCAATCCTCAATGTTGATATCAGGTATTAATTGTTGAAGTGCAAATGTGATTCTTTTTCGCGATGAACTTTCAACTTAATTCATAACAACCATAGGATTTCAATTCACGAGCGATATTATTTTCCACGTTGTAAAAAGACATGTGGCGAGAGACAACAAACTTACGAAAGCTCGTCATAAAAATGTAAACAATTCACAAACGATAATATATGCAAATAGAATGATGCATCTAATGCATTTTCATGCGACTATGCATTTTTCATCAGCAAAAAACACTCAACGCTGTTTCAGGCATCCAAATTGATTTTAGGAGTGTATAATCTATGGGCAAGGTTAACAGCACTCTCTAATAGTGATGACATTCGACCGACGTTCGGTCGGAAAAATCCGACAAATTTCAGTTGGATTCCGATATTTGAATTCCGCTCGAAAAAATTTTGAAGTTCGGTCGGAATTCCGAATGATGAAATCCTAAAGTGTGAATCCTGCCGAATTCCGGTCGAACAATTCTGAAGGTCGGTGGTAATTCCGGATGTCGGAATGTCAAAATGTAAATTCGATCTGACTCCGACATCGTATTGAAATTTCGTTGGGGTGCCATCATTATTGTGTAATAAATAGAACGTCGTGTTGGTAATCCACCATGCAGAACTAAAAGTTGCAACTATGAACTCGTAAAACTTTACCACAGTTATTTCAGCGGCCATTTCATGACATCCGCTGACAAAATGCGAAAATTGTATGGGTCTATAAGCGCACAGCAATGAAAGTCAGCTTCTTGCCAGTCTGAGTGTCAAACTGAGCCATGTCTAATTCGAGCGGATAAGCCGATTACTCGTCTGCACATGTTTTGATGGAACACCCGATTTTAAGAGTAAGCCCTCGGATAAGCCCTCGTCATGCCACTGATTTCAGAGCAGAATAACCTCTTCAATTCACTTCTCTTGAAGCATCACGTAGACAAGGCGTTATCACGAGAACTTACCTGTTACAAATCGAGACATACTTTAGAAAGCTATCCAACTTGATAACCGTATAAATTATCACATAGTATATTTCTATAACAACAGCTAAATTAAGGCTGATTTCTGAAGGTCAATATTTCAATCTACCTGCAATCAAAAGATAGGAACATATTTGATCGTATCAATAGCATAAGATCACAGTTTCCGGATCCGTAAACCGTCGCAATGTTCACTAACTAGCAACGATGGCACAATATCAACGAATGGAGCACTTAAATCGCAAATCTTTCAAATGAGTAAAAGAATGTTACTCTCTCAAGTGCAGATGATTTCCACTTCATAAAGCAAATAATTCGCTACTCGATCAATTTCACGTCTCATTTTCTCATTTAAAGAAGATTATGCCTATAATTCACTTCAATTAGTTGCGATCAGAATATTACTTCAGTGAATTCGTAACTTCGAAATATGCTTTACCTGATATCAGCTGACGGTTGGAGTCAATTAATTGTAAATATCCTTCGGTGAACACATAATAAAAGGTACCGCCTTAGAGGATGATTGATCATAAATGAGGAACGTTATGGAAATAAGCAAAATGATTAATCGTAAGTATCGAAACTTTAAAAGTGTTTGAATGGGAGAGTTGGGAAAGTAATCATCAATCTATCATATTGATGACGAGACCTGATAAGTTTGAAGAGCACATTTAATGGTTTCCACAACAATAATCTGGAAAATGAGCGA